AAAAACCGTGTGTTTTGGTAACACTACGTTCCAACAATGGCTTTTATGTCATGTTGCTTAGTAACATAAGTATAACCTAATACTGTTGTTAGATCATGTACTTTTATGACTTTTTTATGTTTCTGGGCAATAAAAATGTGTTTAAAATATATCTGACCGTTATTCTATGCTAACATAGGTTCTGAAAACACACACTCACATAGTCATCTAGAATATATCAACCTAACAACCCGAGCGATGACGGGTAGTTTCGTTAGTGTGTAAATAAAACATACTGACAATACAATAAATATAGTAAACACACCTTAGTATTGTGGTGTCCACGTCGTTTACAAGGAACTCATTTATTCAAACTAAAACTGTCCAAATGTAATATTTTTCTTAACACATAAACCACAAGTATATACCAGTTACTATTATATGGATAAAGACATTCTAAATGTACACATTTTCGGACATCAACGTATCGTTGTTAGATTATGTACTTTTATGACTTTTTTATGTTTCTGGGCAATAAAAATATGTTTAAAATATATTTGACCCTTATTCTATGCTAAAATAGGTTCTGAAAACACACACTCACATAGTCATCTAGAATATATCAACCTAACAACCCGAGCGAAGCCGGGTAGTTTCGTTAGTATATTAATAAAACATACTGACAATACAATAAACATAGTAAAAACACATTAGTATAGTGGTGTCCACGTCGTTTACAAGGAACTCATTTATTCAAACTAAAACTGTCCAAATGTAACATTTTTCTTAACACATAAACCACAAGTATATACAAGTTACTATTATATGGATAAAGACATTCTAAACGTACAAATTTTCGGACATCAGTTTCTTTTTTAAACATATAAATAATACTATTGCTGTAGCGTGTGACGTGTCTAATGGGAGTGAGGGGGGGATTGATGTTTTTGTTACGGCTCATGTTTGAAACAAATATATTCTAAACATTTCCCACGTGATTGACCAATTAAAGGCTGACCTGTATCCCTGGACAACGAACTAGTCCAACAGTGCGATCTAAAGTGGTTCAGAATATGTAGAAATTGTAACTAAAGTTTGACCAAACGTAACATTAGATGAATGTCCCCCACTGGGACAGCGCTATATCTACGGATTTATAACGCTAAAATCAAGGGTTCGATTGCCCTCAGTGGATAGCTGTTTTGTGTACAAAATGTCAAGCGCATATTTTATATTGGGCCAAAATACTGTCTTTTTCACATTATTTCACAAATATAGCAGTGTCAACTAAAACATAATTATGTACTATTTAATACGTGTATTACACAATAGTATTATTATATCATAGATAAATAATGGATACAGAAATAGATTTACAGTTAGAATGGTAACGATATGAGGGCCTTTAGTCTTTAGTTATATGTGTTATTTACAACTTAATTATTAATTTTACATACCTGTTATTATCGCCACCTTCTGGTCAAGTTTCTTATCGGTAAGGTTCGGGGCCATCTCATAAATTTTACAAGTAATCTAGAAAGAAAAAGGAAAAACAATAACTTTATTTTCAGTTTGTGATTCTGTTTTTGAAGTTTCAGTTTGAAAAAACACACATAAAAACGTACAGCCTTAGTTTTATTGCGTTAAATATAAACAATAACACGAGTCTAATGGAGAATAAACAATCCAAAACTTATAAATACATGTTTACATAAATAGAATATTTTAATGAAAAAATATAAGATTAGTTCAGTTCAATGAAGTTTTCTTTTATATATATATATATATATATATATATCGTAATGCTACATTACTTCATATAGAATAATAAACTCACCAGATATTAATGGACTTCAGACTGTTTGTTGGTCTCTTTATCCTTACAGTCAGGCAAGTTGCTGGTTGCTGATTCGTTCATCAGGTAAGTTGCTGATTGGTTGGGAGTTGTAGTTTACTCTAGAATGTTAGTCTTTAGCTGTAACGTTCTATTCTACCTACAACCATCACAGATCACGTGCCTAATCGAAGTTGACTTTAAACTTGTATATTATGGGATATACAGAGTACAATATTTATGATTACAACGATTTTGCCAAATTAACCTGTCATCAGGTACAACAACAATATGGAGTTAACTGGTGATCTGGATAACAAGAAGCACTGGCGGATGGATACATTGGTATTAAAGATAAAAAAGTTTTAAGTTTTACGTAACAGGGTACTTCCTTTAATTACTTAAGTGTTTTTATGTTAATTATTAAGGGTTCAAGAGTGTGATTTAAGTCATCTCTATAAGTTAATGTTTCCTTCGCCAGGGTGTAAATTGATTAGGTGTTTATAGTTTGTAAGTTATACCACCAGGATATAGTACAGCTTCACCAACGGTGGGCACGTGCTTGATGCTGTTTTGGGAGATCGATTTGTCATATGGCAGCTTTCTGGTCCCGCACATCTACCAGCTTTCATTAATCACGTGGTTCGTTCCCAGCTGTAGAGCACGAGTGTGTAAGTAGATCGACCTGCAAGAATTAACTAAAACAATTCAGCACCTCTATACTGTCAGTGGTTGTCATTTGGCAGCTTTCTGGTCACGCACATCTACCAGCTTTCATTAATCACGTGGTTTGTTCCCAGCTGTAGAACACGAGTGTGTAAGTAGATCGCCTTGCAAGAGTTAACTAAAACAATTCAACACCTCTATACTCTCAGTGGTTGTCATTTGGCATCTTTCTGGTCCCGCACATCCACCAGCTTTCATTAATCACGTGGTTTGTTCCCAGCTGTAGAGCACGAATGTGTAAGTAGATCGCCTTGCAAGAGTTAACTAAAACAATTCAACACCTCTACACATTCTGTGTTTATCACGTAGCAGCTTTCTGGTCACGCACATCTACAAGCAAAGTTAGATTTTGAATAACAGATAGGCCCAGCATGGCCAGTTGGTTAGGGCGTTTTGCTCACAATTAATGTAGCTTTGTGCTTTACTACAACCAATTAACAAGTACTGTAAACAGGCAATGAACCTATAAAAATACTTGTTATTAATTATTAATAATCAATCTTTGTATATTCATACTTTAAAATACGAAATTATGTTCGGTGTTGTTAATATCTAGAAAAGTTTGTTTGTTTGTAGTTAAGCACAATGTTATACAATGGGCTAGCTGTGTTCTGCCCACCACGGGTATCGAAATCCGGTGTCTAGCGCTGTAAGTTCCGCAGACATACCGCTGAGCCACTGGGGGACAACTAAAAGAGACCCAAAATACAGTTGCCAAAAGAAAACTGCCAAATGACAAATCGATCTCCCAGAGCAGCATCAAGCACGTGCCCACCTTTGGTGAAGCTGCACTATATCCTGGTGCTGTAACTTACAAACTATAAACTCCTAATCAATTTACACCCTGGCGAAGGAAACAGTAACTTACAGAGATGACTTAAATCACACTCTTGAATCCTTAATAATTAACATAAAAACACTTAAGTAATTAAAGGAAGTACCCTGTTACGTAAAACCTAAAACTTATTTATCAATAATACCAATGTATCCATCCGCCAGTTTTTCTTGTTATCCAGATCACCAGTTAACTCCATATTGTTGTTGTACCTGATGACAGGTTAACTTGGCAAAATCGTTGTAATCATAAATATTGTACTCTGTATATCCCATAATATACAAGTTTAAAGTCAACTTCGATTAGGCACGTGATCTGTGATGGTTGTAGGTAGAATAGAACGTTACAGCTAAAGACTAACATACAAACATTCTGAAGTCCATTAATATCTGGTGAGTTTATTATTCTATATGAAGTAATGTGGCATTACGATATATATATATATATATATATAAAGGAAAACATCATTGAACTGAACTAATCTTATATTTTTCATTAAAATATTCTATTTATGTAAACATATATTTATAAGTTTTTGGATTGTTTATTCTCTCTATAAGCATTAGACTTGTGTTATTGTTTATATTTAACGCAATAAAACTAAAGCTGTACGTTTCTGTGTGTTTTTTCCAACTGAAACTTTAAAAACAGAATCACAAACTGAAAATAAAGTTATTATTTTCCTTTTTTCTTTCTAGATTACTTGTAAAATTTATGGAATGGCTCCGAACCATACAGTTAAGAAACTTGAACAGAAGGTGGCGATAATAACAGGTATGAAAAAATTAATAATTAAGTTGTAAATAACACATATAACTAAAGACTAAAGGCCCTCTTATCGTTACCATTCTAATTGTACATCTATTTCTGTATCCATTATTTATCTATGATATAATAATACTATTGTGTAATACACGTATTAAATAGTACATAATTATGTTTTAGTTGACACTGCTATATTTGTGAAATAATGTGAAAAAGACAGTATTTTGGCCCAATATAAAATATGCGTTTGACATTTTGTACACAAAACAGCAATCAGCTGTGTCCACCTAGGGGAATCGAACCTCTGATTTTAGTGTTATAAATCCGTAGATATACCACTGTCCCTGTAGGGGACATTCATCTAATGTTATGTTTGGTCAAAGTTTGGTTACAATTCCTACATATTCTGAAACACTTTAGATCACACTGTTGGACTAGTTCGTTGTCCAGGGATACAGGTCAGCCTTTAATTGGTCAATCACGTGGGAAATGTTTAGAATATACTTGTTTCAAACATGAGCCGTAACAAAAACATCAATCCCCCCTCACTCCCATTAGACACGTCACACGCTACAGCAATAGTATTATTTATATGTTTAAAAAAGAAACTGATTTAAAAGCGAACAGTTGTGACTAAAATTTGGTTATACTTTTGTTACTAAGCAACATGACATAAAAGCCATTGTTGGAACGTAGTGTTGCCAAAACACACTGGTTTTTCTATATATTAGAAGTTGTTAATCTAACTAATTTTTACCAATAATTATTCTATGAATACACCGAGAATTCATTTCATGAATGATCTTAATTTTGATTGGCTGATTGGCCGAAGTTTGACGGGCTGTACGCCAATAATACAATAAACGTTTGACATAATCAATTAAAAATAAAAGACATTCCTATTAACATTCATGAACTAAGTGAAAATTATTTGTCTGTTTGTTTAAAAGTTATAAATTATTTTTACTTTTACAAATTAAAATACTTGAGTGGATATCTAAATATTTAGGTGCTAGTTCAGGGATAGGTAGAGCCACTGCTGTAGTGTTCTCACGCCTGGGAGCGAGGCTAGCTCTAAGTGGAAGGAACCAAGAAAATTTGACGGAATCTGCTGAAGAATGTGAAACAGTTTCACCTAATAATCTAAAGGTTTGACTAAACATTATATAACATAGACGTATTTAATTAATAAGGAATGTTTAAATAACTATTACTAAAATGTAGTAATTTATAAATGACATTATAATCTAAAGGTCTGACTAAACATTATATAACACAGACGTATTTAATACATAAGAAATGTTTAATTAACAATTACTGAAAATGTAGTAATTTATAAATGACGTCATATTGTTTCTAACTGAACTAAAATATGTTCATATAAATTGGAACTGTTGTTACCAGGATTGAGAAACTAATGAGCAAGTCTGATTTTAATTAAAAAAGAGAATAAAGAAATAGAAAAATATGTAGTTGTTACGACTCTGGTATTATTCTGGTTCTCTGAAGTAAAAAAACCAAATGGAAATATCCTGGTATCATGGTTCTATAATGTATTATTTGATAGATACTTAACTTGTCTCAACCCAGAATAATTGTTCACTAACACATAAACAAACATCTACACACAGATAAATCAAATAAAGAATCCAAATAACCAAAGGTTCCAACTACTCGATTCAAAAACGTTCAACTCGAGTGCATTGTGGTTCGTGAACAAATGTTTTATAGTAACTAAAACGTAATAAATTATAATTAAAACAAGGTACATTATAATTATAACAATATATTATAATTACAATGTAACAGATTATAATTAGAATGTAACAGATTATGATTAGGATGTAAGGGATTATAATTAGAATGTAAGAGATTATAATTAGAATGTAATAGATTATAATTAGAATGTAAGAGATTATAATCAGAATGTAAGAGATTATAATTAGAATGTAATATATTATAATTAGAGTGTAATTGGTTATAATTAGAATATAAGAGATTATAATTAGAGTGTAATTGATTATAATGAAAACAAGATACATTATAATTAAAACGTAATAAATTATAATTATAATATAACATATTATAATTAGAATGTAATAGATTATAATTAGAATGTAATTGATTATAATTAAAACAAGATACATTATAATTAAAACAATCAAATTATAATTAGAAAGTAATAGATTATAATTAGAATGTAATAGATTATAATTAAAACGTTATAACTTGTAATTATAACAATAGATTATAATTAGAATGTAACAGATTATAATCAGAATGTAATAGATTATAATTAGAATGTAACAGATTATAAGTAGAATGTAACAGATTATAATTAGAATGTAATAGATTATAATTAGAATGTAATAGATTATAAGTAGAATGTAATAGATTATAAGTAGAATGTAACAGATTATAATTAGAATGTAATAGATTATAAGTAGAATGTAATAGATTATAATTAGAATGCAATAGATTATAATTAAAACGTGATACATTATGACTAAACAATGAGTTATAATTAGACTGTAATATAATAGAATTGGAACGTGATAAGTTATAATTAAAACGTAATAACATAAATAAGAAAACTAACATAAGTAGTTTATTTAATGAAAGGATATATTTTTATTATTTCTTAATAAAATTATAAATAATTTTGATTTCAAAAACTGTTATTTTTTACTTAAATTTTTACTTTTTTAAGTCAACTCCATATGGCACAAAATCATCAGTCTATTCTTCAAAATGTTTTTCTTTATGAATATGGCATTTTTTATGATATTAATAATACCTATATAAAAATAATAGTACAGTCTGTTGTACTTCCATGTAACTACTTCGCCTCCTGTTGATGGATCTTCACCAAAATTGGTATGGAGGTTCATTAGTTCCATGAGAGAGAACATACACACTTTCTGTTTTTGTTTTTTTTTATGGGCATTTTTGCGTTTGTTATCACTCCCTTGTCTCCTGTAGATGGATCTTTACCAAATGTGGTATGAAGGTTTTTTGGGTCCATGCGGAGATACATGCAAATGTGCGGTTTCAGACTTTTTGTTTTGCAGTTTTTATGGGCGTTTTTTCAGTTACCAATAAAGGATTCAACTTTTCATGTTCTTAGATAACCTTTCATTAATCTTGAATTTACATAAGTACCATCCAGGGGACGGGTACTCCAGCTAATATAAAATATATCATAATTAGACTGATTCCGAAAGTTCATAGTGATTTTGTCGTTTAGTTTTTATTATTATGTGAAAAACTCGAAAGATATTAAAAACAAAAGAAAAATAGAAAAAAGTTTGTTCAAGTATTTCTTTACGAGTTACAGCTTGTAGAGTAAGGAATTTTTTTAATTACCCAAACTTTCGTCTGTTTAAACCATCTAGCGCCGAAACAGAATAATCCCAAAATTTAATAATTCGTACTTTAAAATCAAATGATATTAAAAACAACAACAACAAAATAAAATAAATATGTTCTAAGTATTTATTTTCAACACATACAGACAAATTTACACTGAGGATTTTTTAAGCGTGCGCAATCATACTCAAGTACATAGATTTATAGTTCACTGTAAAAAGTGAAATACTTGAAATATTTTTAAGTTGTTGTTTGTTTTCATCATAACTTATTACATTTTTAATACGATAACAAATTCTGTAGAAACAATATAACATGAAACAATACTTTAACAGAACAATTTCTGCACGACTCAGTATGTTTATTTCTGTTTTTTAACTCAAAAAGTTCACTTTCTTTTGTATTTCAGCCTTTGTGTATCGTCGGTGATGTAACCATAGAATCCGATATTAATCGGATTATGAAGTCAACAATTGACACCTATGGAAGACTGGATATTCTAGTGAGTTTATTTACTAGAAAAAATATAGATGAACACATTTTCAGTAAAACACATAGACATCCATTATTGTTTGTCGTCAAAGTTTAAATCTGGTAGACCCACATATAAACAGGAACAAGAAAGGCTTTACACTACCAGTAAAGAAACGAAACTAGTACCATTTTAAAATAAGCTATTTCTACTTAGTCTGGTTATCTTTTTTATGTATTATATTTACGTTGGACTTGGTGTTTCTCTTTTCTAATTATATACACACAGGGGGTTTCTTTTCATGGGGCAGGGAGGAACCATCGTCCATAACTCAACCCCATATACTTTATGCAGTTATCACTTCAGTTTTGTTACAGTCACTGTCCAATGTGACGACATACTTCTATGACTCAATACCAGCCATCTTTCGTACATCTT